TTTCAAGGAAAATATTCCTACACTCCCAAAGTTTTATACACACCCCTATTTCACTTGTATAATATGTCCCAAGTACTTAATATATAATGAGTGGTAATTAATTAATTTTTTGAAACTTCATCCCAAAATTCTCACATAAGTGCCTCAAAATTTTCACATAAGAGTTAAATAATCATCATTACCAAATAGTTAGAATGACACCTACAATTATACTCGTACTTAATGTATATTTACAAGAATATTTTGGTGTATATATATATATGTCTCATTAAAGGTTTTCGCGAGGGTTACAAGAGGACCTTTCTCCAACGAAGGAGGAGAGGGGGCTACGCCAATGGAAGGACTTCATCGGAGTTGTCCGGTCAAAAAATGACCGATGAAGGAGGAGAAGAGAAAGAAAGAAAGAAAGAATAAGGAAAAGAGGGAAGAAAGGGGGAGAGATGGAGGGGAGAAAGGGAAGGAGGAAAGAGAGGAGAAGATTAGAAGGAAAATAAGGGAGAGGGAAAAGATTTTATGGCTAATTTAGGCGGATCGAAGTCGCTATCGGGGAGAAGAAGGCGATTGGAGAGAGAAAATTGGTTCGAAAATTTTCGGTGGGATAGCTTTTAAAAATTAAGGTTTAGCGACGATCTATAGGTCATCGCTAAACCCGTCGCTAATTGTCAATTTTAGTTTTTAAATTTTGAAAATTAGCCGTTTCCTACCAACGATTTGATTTTAGTGACGATTTAGCGACGATCTACTAGACCATCGCTAATTTGATATTTTTCAATGGTTTTTTCCAAAATATTTTCTTTTTCAATTTTTAATTTTAGCAACGGGTTAGCGACGATCTACGGACCACCGCTAATTATGGTATTTTGCAACATTTTTTTCAAAAAAAATCGTTGCAAATCTTGGATCTTTAAATTTTTTTTGTTTTGTGATTTTAGCAACGATGTAGCGACGGTCTTCGGATGGTCGCTAATCCAAAAATTTTGTAATGGTTTTTTGTAAAAAAATCGTTGTAAATTTTGGTTTTACGTTCTTTTAAAATATAATTATTGTTGCAACGGTATTAGTGACCGTTTTGTGGACCGTCGCTAAGTCTAATATTTACAACAGCTTTTTTTTAGAAAAATCATCGCAAATACGATCCATATATAAAAAAAAAATTGAAACCCAAGAATTTAGCGATGGTTTGGTCGGACCATTGCAAAAAATGTCATTTTGAGGAATTTTAGTTATGATTTTTTGAACCCTCGCTAAATCACTTAAAATCGTTACAAATTTTGAAAACTAGCAACGATTTTTGAACTATCGCTAAATTTCCATCGTAAACTCATCTTTTTGTTGTAGTGAGACTTGTATAGGACATGAAATGTACCACGAAAAAATCTTTTCTTTTAAAAGCTCAAAGGCACATAATTAAACATGTGGCAATCTTTATTCAACTTATTAAGTAAAAATATTTCGTCAATGAAAATGACATATTATAACATAAAACATTTAACATAAATTAGGCCAATGCAAGTTTTGCAAAACAAGCTTCATTTCATAAAACATCGCCTACTTCATACATAGTCATGGCCGAAAAGCGATGTGTAAGGCTATTTACACATCGCTCTTACAAACCAAAACTAAGTAATGTATATTACATGGATAATGTCTAAACTACAAGCTTTAAACCTATGTCTATATTACATTTTTTGGCAAACTCAAAATGCATCAAGTAGCACCTCCAACGCAACAACATGCTTTAGGCCTTATTACGATCACCTACACCACAAGACATAAACCATGAGCCAAGGCTCAATAAGTGTACTCATGCATAAGTTTGTTAAACTTGTTTTCATGGCGAAAATACTTCTCTATCTTTCAAAAATGCCCTATCGAATATTTGATTTGGCTTTCTTTTAAAATCTTGACAAAAACATTATAAACTAGACATAATCTAGCCGAGAGTCAATCTTAAGTATACACCGGATCATTCCCTCGAGTGACCTCTCTATAAAAATGCACCAACCTCTTTACTTGCTTAAAGTATGAGTTCATGAAATCTAATGTCAATCCCATGTCATGAGTTCAATTAGTTTAATGTCAATTCATCTAGAATTCATACTACAATGCTATGTAAATTTAGGCATCAAGCAATTGTCCATCAATTTGACAAGAATTCACATAAGCTAGCCAACCAACATGCCGCATCATGCTTACGAAATTAAGGGCAAAACATTCAAAACAAAGCATCAAGTAATTGTCCATCAATCAGCAAGAAGTCACCCAAAACACAACAATTCAAAAGGGATGTTCATAATCCCTTATCAATGGAACTCATGCATACTAGGTCTTGTGATATAGGTGAGAGTTACACTTACTTGGACAAGCTAGAGATGGAAAAAAAAAAAAACACTTCAAGATCCCTCAAGAACTTCACATTACCCATTGTCTTGGCTATTGCCCAAAGCTTCGTCCTTCTTTTCTAGCTCTCTCTTTATACGTTTTTCCTTTGCAAGAACAAATGGCCAAAACCTTAGCCAAAGTAAACTTCCATCTATTTATAATGCTAAGCCATGCATAAAGAAATGGCTAAAAATCCTAGGTGATGATGCTTCCTTAGGCAACTCACCAATGCAAACCTAAATTAATAACACTCAACCTTCCGCTAATCTCAAGGTAAATTAACCCCCTTCCACGTGTTCAATTAATGCAATAAAGCCTCTTGATTTGACATGAATCACTATAGAGTTTCCACAAGATCACATACAAATAATACACATAATATTAAGAGCAAATAAGGCATGGCATTTGGCAATGAAGCATACAATAAGGCATGAAAATTGTTAACGAAAATTGCATGTCACGGCTTAGTAGCTTTCGTCGACGTAAACTCGACATGTCATAATGTAGCTATTTTCAACAACGCAAATATGGGCATTGAACATCAAGTGTGTGTGTGTCATGCTTAAGGGTCTTGGCCATTACATAATGAATATGATTTTTTTTTTTTTATTAATACTTACTAGTTTTGGATTGAATATGGATATTTAAAATTTTTATCTTCTACATAATAAATAGGATATGAATTTGAAATTGAATAATAAATAGTATGCGAATAATGAATATTTAAATAAATATTGAAAACCCGATGGATTAAATATAAATATCTAAATTTCTCATCCGTTAAATAATAAATAAAATATAAATATTTAAATTTCACATCCCATAAATAATAGATAAAATATGAATATCTAAAACACATATATGTATTCTACTATTATCTGTATTTTGGAAATCCAATTTCATGATACCATTCTCCAAAAAAAAAAAAAAATTATCAATTGGTTTCTGGAATGTAAACCTTTGATGCATCCCATCACATTTCATAAAACATCATGGGTGGATTCTCCTGCAACAGAGAATGGGCCAATGCTATTTGTTACTTTTGCTAGTGATATTTTCTTTTGACACTTTTCTTATTGGCACTTGGCAGGCTTCAACTAGAGGCAAGCCAGATTTGTATCCAATTACTATCCAAGATTGAACATTCTAATAATGATGTATGTTGCCTTTTTACTCAATTACTATCCAAGTTTCCCTCAATTGTTTGAAATGAAACTACAAAACAAACAGATTTTAGGGAATCATCCTGCATCAGAATCCAATTAAATGGTATCAGTATCAAACTTGGGCAAATAATCAACTGGTACGGCATCAAATCCTTTCATGTATCTCATCTATTTGATGATGAAAATTAAATTGGGAAACTAAAACCAGCATTCTCTCATATCATGTTCAACGTTAACCTGTATTTTTGGACTCTGCAACGTTGCATTATCCAAAAGAATATATTTATCCAAAAATAGATAGTTTTAGCTTACCAGTGATCAGTCAGGCGCCAGAAAATTCGAACAATAACACCCTCCATTTTCTCCAACAAACTCTCTCATTTCCCACAATTTCATTCCACCTCTCATGACTCCAAAAAACAAGGATCTCCATTCTCTTTTTTATTCTTACAACTCTCATTGATCCTCTTTGCCCCCTCTTCCTTCCATCTTTTTTTTTCACAATTCACAAGGCCCGAAACTTTGGTGGCAAAATGGTACGTTCTTGCTTCCTTTCTACCTCTCCATTGCACGACAATGTATCAATATTGCCTTTGAAAGCTATCATGCATATGAGGCTGCTACTGCCAAGTTTGATAATTTCATGTGATTAGTTCATTCTACTAATGTCTTACTGAATCTTTTTTTATTTATTTAAAGCTTGACAAATTGAGCTGTCACGTTAGGTTTGGTCCCAAATTAATCTGTCTCCTGTCCAGTTGTTGCAACACCATTGAGGTCCATGTGGTCTAGTTCGAGTTCCTTTAACGTGTCAGCCACCGCCGTCTTTTGGCATTCTGAATACAAGATTATTATTTCACCTACATTCAAATTATTTGTCAATTTCACAACGACAGAAAAAGTTTTTATGGACTTGCCCTAAAACGGCACTGTTAAATTGCTATTATTGTAAAATCAGCTCCCATTGTCTCACGTTACGTTCAAGTATCTTTCAAAGCTATCCAATCTATATATATTCTTTATCGGATTATTGATTTTGGGCTAGAGAAAAAGTTCCTCTGTTTTTTCCCGCATTCTATGAAGTCATTCCTCCTATCCAAATGGAAGTTGATAATCCCTAATTTGCTCTTTGAATTTATAGCAAAACCTCAAACCTCTCTTGTGTTTCATTTTTTGTCAATCCTCCCATAATTAAGATAATGCGGACCAGATTAGGTCAATTGATGACCGTCTTTAATCTATGCCTATTTCATGGATTATTTGCGGTCAAGTTTCCTCTCTTATTTGTAGGAAAACTCCAAATCCTTTTGTTCTCAACTCCAATTCCTCCCATGTGATGCATAAAATTGACAGAAATGGGAGATAGTTATCAGTTGGTTTAAAATTTAATTTTTCAATTTTTTTCAGGAGAAATTGATTAAAAATAAAATACAGGGAGAAAAGTGATCTCAAATGCCGGAAAAAACAGAGGTTATCTCTTATAATTCGCAAAAAGTTGTACTGTATTTAGTCAAATCCAAATTTCGTGTAGTCTGAAATATTAAAGACAACATCAAATGTTGAAATTAACAATTACAAATAATTTCTCTATGCTTAATCAATTCGTCGATGACACTTAATGATATCGATCTAAGGCTTCATTTTATTTTTTCTTTTCTAATAATATATGAAATGTATAGGCGAATTCAGCATCAGGAATGGCTGTTAAAGATGAGTGTAAGCTGAGGTTTTTGGAACTTAAAGCAAAGAGGAGCTACCGATTTATTGTTTTCAAGATTGAAGAAAAGATCCAGCAAGTGGTGGTTGAGACATTAGGAGAACCTCAACAAAGCTATGATGATTTCACTGCCAGTTTGCCAGCCAACGAGTGCCGATATGCTGTCTATGATTTCGATTTCACCACTGATGAGAATGTTCAGAAGAGCAAAATTTTCTTCGTTGCATGGTAACATCAAGAAAAATATTACAATACTATATAAATTTTTTGAATTGATAAATACTTATGATTATGTGTTGCAATCTAAAATTAATATAGAATATATTTTGTTTTAGGTCTCCAGACACATCGAAGATAAGGAGCAAAATGTTGTATGCTAGTTCAAAGGATAGATTCAGGAGAGGGCTCGATGGGGTTCAGGTTGAGTTACAAGCAACAGATCCAAGTGAAATGAGCTTGGACATTGTCAAGGAACGAGCCTTTTAAAAAAAGCCTTTTATTGGGGGTTTCTTTTATTTGGGACTCTAAATTAGTAGTCCCAAATTTCTTTTGTACTCTTACCTTACAAAACCTTATCATTGACCGTGTATGCATTGTCATAACCAAAAATATCATCTATTTTACAATTTTAATTTTTAGTTATTTGTTTTGTTTTATTCTATTTTAATTTACTTCCTTTTTATTTTATTTTATTTATTTTATCTTAGAAAATACAACAAAAAGAAGAATAAGAAGAAGAAGAAGAAAGAAGTAAAAACAAAAATACAAAAAAAAGAAAAGAAAAGAAACATATATAAAATACAAAAATTTCATGCATTACATCCAGGGACACGATCACATTCAAGAAAAATATAATTGAAGTAATTACGAGTATAATTGAATCAACTAAAAATTTCAAAACCTAAATTACACTCTATAAATACCCAATTGATAAAATTGAACTGAAATTACATAATAAAATGGTACAACTACGGACAATTAAAATTCATAAAGGTCAAATTAGAATTTTGGAGCGAACGACGGAACTAAATTAGTAGAAACCCATTTGAGTAGGAGTTAACTTAATGGCTTATGTTCTCAAGGTTTTATGGCATTACAAATCACAAGTCACATGAAAGTATCATCTTTACCTGTGCTAGCCATTGACAAGTAAGTGGATGGAGGTTTGAAATTGGTCTCGTTTTCATAAAATATCTATCAATTATCATTGCCATTTATCTTGATGCATTTTTCATTACGTCGAAAATTTTCCCTCAAAACTATATTGTTTTGTTTTATTCTATTTTAATTTATTTCCTTTTTATTTTTTTTTATTTTATCTTAGAAATTTACAACAAAAGAAGAAGAACAACAACAAGAAGAAAGAAGTAAAAACAAAGCTAAAAAAAAAAAAAAAAGAAAGAAAGAAAGAAGAAATATATATAAAATACAAAAATTTCATGCATTACATCCATGGACACAATCGCATTTAAGAAAAGTGTAATTGAAGTAATTAGGGTTATAATTGAATCAATTAAATATTTCAAAACCTAAATTACACTCTACGAGTTCCCGATTGATAAAATTGAATTGAAATTACATAACAAAAGGGTACAACTACATACAATTAAAATTTATAAAGACCAAATTAGACTTATGGAGCGAACAACGGAACTAAATTAGTAGAAACCCATTTGAGTAGGAGTTAACTTAATGGCTTATGTTCTCAAGGTTTTATAGCGTTACAAATCACAAGTCACATGAAAATATCTTCTTTACTCGTGCTAGCCATTGATGAGTATGTGGATGGAGGTTTGAAATTGCTCTATTTTCATAAAATATCTATCAATTATCATTGCCATTTATCTTGATGCATTTGTCATTACGTCGAAAATTTTCCCTCAAAACTATACTTTTACATCAACATAAAGTTAATGGAATCATTCAAATAAAAAATAATAATAAATTTACACTCAAATAAAAATATTAAAAATTTATATTATCATATAGAAAAAATTGATAAATTTTATAAAAGAAATAGCAACAATAATAAAATTGAAGAGAAAGATGAAAAGGAAATGGATTCATTATGAGACAAAGTGAATACAAGAGACAATAACTTTAAATAATTTTTCAATCTCTACAAAATACTTGTACACAAACTAATGAACAATAATGCCTATTTGTAGGCTTTAAGATTAGGAAGAGAATTGGAAGGGAATATGAACCATTAAAAGATACATAAATAATTGAATAAATTGTATCATCTTTTTAATTTTTCATATTGAATGGTGAATTGAATCACATCGGTAGTGAGAATATGAAATGATCATGGACATTCATTATTTCATTTATTATTTCATAACACTCCTCCTTGAATGTCTATTGTATAAGGAACATGTCTTGTTAAAACCTTACTAGGAAAAAAATCATTGGAAAAAAAATTCTAATAAAAAAGAGTACAATATTCCTTATACACATTAATCTTTATGTTAGGCTCCCCTTATTGAAAACATCATTTAAGATCTTTACGATGACGCATCTCGGTCTTCCGAACTATTTTCTCAAAAGTAATGTTTTCGTGAATAAGTCCATTGGATTGTCACTTTGATGTATTCTTCCTTTAATTGAATTATGCAAGCAAAATTATCTTCATATGATATTGTTGAAACTTTTTACTTGGTAGATAAATCGTATGTCTCTCGGATATGATGGATCATTGATCTTAGCCAAACACATTCTTGACTTGCTTCACGAATTGATATTTTTACATGATTTGAATATCTAGTAGCTATAGTTTTCTTCATAGAACGTAATGATATAGTCGTATTACCAAGTATAAATATTTAACTCGTTTGTGATCGAGTTTTGTATGGATCAGATAAATAACATGCATCCGTATAATCAATTAAATTTGATTTTGATTTATTTGAGTAAAATAAATACCATATCAATTTTTTCTCAAAGATAACATAGAAAATATTTAATTCCATTTCAATGTCTCCGTGTTAGAGTAAAACTATGACTTGCTAATAAATTTATAGAAAAGACTATATCGGATCAAGTATTATTAGCAAGATATATCAATACACTAGTAGCACTAAGATATGATTTACAGGACCAAGTAATTCTTCATTATCTTCTCGAGGTTGAAAAAGGTCTTTTTGGATATCAAGTGAATAAACTACCATTGGGCTAGTCAATGGATAATCTTTATATAGAATAATTGTAGAACCATTTCTATATAAATTGAACAATAAATAAAAATATCATTCTCTATGTGCTCGAACTATAGGTCGAGATAAAATTTTATTGTCCAATGTAGTCATATAAAAATTCTCCTTTTAGATAACTTATGACTCTTTGAATCTCTTCAAGGGTATCAATAATATTTAAATTATCAACATATATAATAATTATCACAAATCTTTTTTTGAATTTTTTATAAAAATTCATGAACAAATATGGTTATTTTTACATCTTTCTTTTAATAAATATTTATTGAAGTAATTATATCACATGCACACAAGTTAGTAATAAAGAGTAGGTATTGAAAAATAAAAAATAAAAATAAAAAGTATAGCATAAATTGAATTTCTAAAAACTAAAATAATAAAACAAGTACTAAAATAATTTTGATAGAGATCTCTATAATTTAATTGAATTCATTTCTCGAGAATATGTATTACATACTTCAAGCATCTTAAGTCCTTCTAGAATTTTCATATAAATATCATTTTCAACCGAACAAATAAGTTATGATCACATCCATTAAATGTATCCATATGAAGTTTTTCATATATTTTATCAAGCTAATGAGATAACAAAATGTAATTACATCAATTACAGCAGAATATATCTCCTCATAGTCAATATCGAGTCCTTGCGAAAACTCTTGTGTTACAAGTCTTGTTTTGTATCTCTTAATCTCATCTTTCTTATTTTGTTTTCATAAAAATACTCATTTGTATCCCACTAGCTTAACATCTTCGGGTGTTTTGACTATGAGTTTAAAAACTACTCATTTGTAAAGAATATAATTCCTTCGGGTTGCTCTTTTCATTTAGCTTGATCATCTCTATATCGACATTCTTCAATAAATTTAGGCTCGGGATCCTTATTTTCATTCAAAATATCAATTGTAACATTATATGCAAAAATCTTATCAATAAATATTTCTTTTTGGTTCTATTTTCTCCTTGTATTGACATAATTTATCAAAGTCTCTTAATTTTTCTCAAGCATTTGGACTTCTTCTAGAAACCAATTATCAAAAATATCCGGGATCGTTTTATGAATAGTTGCATCCTTTATATTTTGATCTTGATTATTTGTCCTTTTCTTTTGAGGATTTTTGTCTTTAGAACCGATCAATCTTTCATACTTTAGACATGCTTTAGATTCATTTATTAAAACATTAATAGATTGCCCTTCTAGAACATTAATTCTAATAGGAGCATTCTCAACGGAGACATGCATTTTAGTTACTCTTTTAGGATCTAGGAATGCATTTGATAGTTGATTTACAATAACTTATAAATGAATTATCTTTTAAACTTTTAATTCATATTATTTTGTATGAAAATCAAGATGATATAAGATAGAGTACTCTATGTAATCTTTTTTTTTTTAATATTTTTAACTCGCTTATTTTACTTATTCTCTCCCCTAACATTGGAAAAACTATTTCATCAAAATGACGAGTCGATAAATCAAATTGTAAAATATCTCTTGTTCATGGTTTGAGATATTGAATCATCGAAGAGGATTCATATCCAAAATATAGTTTCAATCTCCTTTAAACGCTCATTTTATTTTGTTATGGAAGAGCATTACATATATATATTACATAGCCAAAAATTCTTCTTAGATAAGAAGTATTTGGCTCATGACCACAAACAAATTGAAAGGGAGAGAATTTCGATAACTTATGGGTCCGATGCGAATAAGTATTGTTGTACGTAAGATTACATGTCCTCAAACATAAACAAAGAGTTATATATATATATATATATATATATATATATATATATAATGGTTTATTTATCAATTGAAACCTTTTGATAAATGATTCTGCTAAATCTTTCTAAGTATGAACATGAGCAACAAAGCTGTTCAACCTTTATTCCAATAGCTAGTCAATAATAATTTAATGCTTGAGAGATAAATTCACTAGCTTTATCAAGGAAAATTATTTTAACAACATAATTTAGAAATTATGCTTGTAATTGAATTATTTGAGTTAAGAAACTCGAAAACGTCAAGTTTTGAGTAGATAATATACATACATGTGATCATTTTATGGATATATCTATTGAAATCATAAAATATCTAAGTGGTTCATATGATGGATGAATTGATTCACATGTATCACCTTGAATACGTTCTAAAAATACTAGAGATTCAATCTCAATTTTACTTAGTGATGGCTTAATAACCAATTTGTCTTGAGAACATACTTAATATGAAAATTCATTAAATTGAAGAATCTTCTTGCTCTTCAATAG